GGTGTACAAGAACTCAAACTGCAATATGGCACAACGCTCAGCAAAAAAACCTAAACTAAAGACGCCTTCCATGCAGATCTCTGCCATGGCTTCACCACCACGCGGCACACAAGATGGCGCCGGCAGGCCGCGATCACCGGCCTCCAGCTCCGACCAGAGCGACATCACCTCGATCTCTACAAAGGACCTCCCAGCTACTGACTCCTCCATACAAAAAATGTTAAACGGACTGCAAGTGTCCCTACAAGCAGATTTTGCTAAACTAGCGAAGGAAATAAGGGCAGACATCAAGGCCCTGGGGGAACGTACAGACTACCTTGAACACAAAACGGAGGAAATTATCAGCGCCCATAACAACATGGCGGCAGCGTATGATACGGTGGATGCAAGGCTAAACTCCATCCTTGCAAAACTAGCCGACCATGAAGACAGGGATAGGCGAAACAACATTCGCATACGCGGCATCCCTGAAGAGATCAGCCCAAACAACCTGGGCACCCACGTCAAAACATTCTTCCATCTTCTAGCCCCGGACATCCCAGAGGAAGCCCTACTACTTGACAGAACGCACCGATTGCCTAAACCGAAACACCTCCCGGCGTCCATCCCGAGGGACACTATAACCAGAGTCCATTACTATACTACCAAGGAAGCTATAATGCAGGCATCTAGAAAACAACCGACCCTGCCAGACGCCTACAGCAAGGTTCAGCTGTTTACTGACCTCTCAGCAGCTACATTAGCAGCAAGGAAAAGCTTTCTACCAATTACCAAGGCCTTGAGGACGGCAGATATCCCATACAAATGGGGCTTCCCAGCTCGCCTCATACTCCGACGTAATGGCATCGAGAAACACATTCTCACCCCAGAGGACGGAAAGAAGACCCTGGAAGAATGGAATATTCCTTTGGATGTCAGCAACCAAACCACCCCTGCCGGGCAGAAAGCTGCTGTATCACCGAAGAGACTCACGCACGATTGGCACACAAAGGCCACAGCTAAGTGAAACCATATACATGTTATTATAGGACTAAGTTAACTGACTGAATACCTGCACCTTACTAAAAAAAAAAAAAAAACAGGTGCATGGACTTCACGGCACTACGTGCCACCGATAGGCCACCCAATCGGAAATGGTTTGTTCAATGTTCTTTAGTCGTAGTTTGCTCAAATTTTGTTATGTCTGATTAACATTACTTAATGTAGTTATAATACGATGTTTCATTAATCCTAGTGGGTGCATAGACCCCTCTGGCGGTCACCACAATGCCACATCAGTGTACGGTATCTGCCTCACCCAACTCAAACTCCCCACTGTCCCTGGACCCGTAGCGCTGAGTAACTACTCTAGCGACCCGCTCACCGTGACTCATCATGGTCACACAACCCATACCACATAAACGACACTACTCCACCTGCCGGCGTCTGCCTAAAGGATACACCACAGAACATGACAAGCATTAACATCAGCTGTCCCTCCAAACTACGCCAAAACCATAATACTACCTAGGATGTAGCACTCACTACATTCATTGCCTAACATGGTTCCACTCCCTCGGTGCAGCGGTCCATAGAAACTCTCCACGCTATCTTAACACCCCTCAGGGCTGGAGATACAACCTGGGGCACACCTTAACGTTCCGAGGCAGGCACTGAGATGTGACGAAGGTGTTGACCCTACCAAGGTTATATCTTCCCCTCTTTTATATGCTTGAATAACACATACGACTCCCCTGTGTATACCCCACCGTCCCCATCCCTTACATAAAGACAACACCTTTCCTTGGCACATTATTTGAGATAGCTTAAGATGTGGTGACCGAACGCTGGAATAGAGATAGAAATGTACAGTGAATGCCGTATTTATTGACCTGTGTACTTTGGTTCTATGAGATACGACTTGCACATCCCAAGATGGAATGACCGGGTTCTCTGAGTATTTATATACACGGACAGCTAGTTACTATACCAGGGAAATCCGGTCTTCACATCCCTATTTATGGCCAGGGAGTCTATTTTACCATCTACCACCCCACACACTAATAACTCATCCTTATCAGATTTCTGGGATTCTCCCCCCCCCCACGGGGGCTTCAGTGCCCGACGAAAATGACGAACCTTAGGTCTCACCATAGAGACCTTCTCTTTGTATATAGTTTGATATATGTTGTATGTTTTACCCCTAATCCCCCCCCACCTCTCGACATGACATCTAACCACCACCGAGACATGCCCATGACCATACCACAAATCAACCGCCTAATCGTACAAACAACACCGCCTAAATGGTCATTACCAAGGGTCGGACGACTCAAGGCACACACTATTACTTGGCTATGCAAAATATCTGTGCTGATAACTCAGCAACGTATACACAAATTAGAAATCCCTTGTCATGACACTTAACGTACTTTCTATAAACACGAAGGGACTTAACTCACCCCATAAACGGCGCATGGCATTGTCGGAAGCAAAAAAACACAAAGCACATGTTGCTTTCTTCCAAGAAACCCACTTCCAAACCGCAAGCCACCCCAAATTCTCATCCAGAAACTATCCGGTAGGATACCACAGCACTTACAAGAAAAAAAAAAGAGGGGTTACAATATTGATCAGTAAAGATGTAGCATTCCAATTCATAAAAAAGATAAGTGATAAAAAAGGACGTTACCTCCTCTTGCAATGCATCATCAACAATGCTCACTACACACTGGTCAATGTTTATAGCCCGCACACTGACCAACACACCTTCCTAGATCATATCCTCACTCTAACACAGGCGCACAAATTTGGAGAAATACTAATAGGGGGAGACACCAATTTCCTTATAGACCCAAATCTAGATTCCACTTCGACCACGACAGTCTCACGAAATACATTACAACGTAGAACACGAGCTACGACCCTTATCGATAACACCCTCAATGCTCATGGCTATACCGACATATGGAGGACTCTTCATCCCTTAGACAGAGACTATACACACCACTCCCTAGTACACGATACATACTCCCGGATCGACCGCTTCTTAATTCCATCAACACACATATCACGAATTTCCAAAACAGATATAGGCATGATAACATGGTCAGATCATGCACCTATAACGATTTCGATAAACACAACGCACCCTACCAATGGCAACCGCACATGGCGACTTAATGATACCCTCCTCAATGACCACAAACTAGTCTCACAACTCACAGAAGATTTAAAATCCTATTTTATTATTAATAACACAGAAGAAGTAGGAGTGGAGACGCTTTGGCAAGCGCATAAAGCAGTCCTCCGAGGTCAATGCATTAAACACGCCAGCTTTAACAAGAGACAACGCACGAAAGCATATACAGACATACATACGGAACTTGCCACTCTCACTCGCACAAACAAGCGTTCACCATCACATAGTACCACGAAACAAATTCTCCACCTACAGGCTACACTAAA